GTGTACAGTATTAAACGGTGGAAAATTGGATGGAAATCGTGAAGAGGGGTTTCTTTTACTGTTAAAAACTCTAGAAAGGATACACCTTGGAACATGGCCCATTTATTGAAGGGATTAGTAAGTACCAGTTGACAACAAATTTCTTCAGTCAGTCATAATAAATGCACACGCACAAACAGGAGATAGAAATTCCAAAGCACAAAATCTGTCAAATATCAGAGAATATGTATGATCATATCTCTTCAAATTATATCCAAATGATGACAGGCAATCTGAATGTCATGAGAGGAAGAAGAGGAATAAACAGCTTAAGTACCAAGTGATAGTGTCTCAGTACTGCATACTTTACAATAAGCAACACTGTTAAGTATGAGCTCAACCTCTGTTCCCCACAAACATATCTGCAGGTGTATATGGACAATACCAGATGGGAATACTTAAAGCCAGCACAGTCACGTTCTTATCAATGCCTCAAGTGTTATTTCACGGATAAAGTTGTGGTCAATGAAAACGATTTTCAGTAAAGACAACACCACATGCTGTGGAGGAAACACGCAAACCAGGGGCATATGGCAGTCATAACTGAAAAGTAGGCTACGAACGTGAGGGGCAAGCTGCCGAGACAAAACACCCTGGACAGACATACATTTATGAAAATGGACGACACCCCATGTGACGTGAAATAATATGCACTAAAATAATGTGGGTATAATAGAAACTTTAAAGGATTTTATCTGGTTTTACCTTAAAAGAGAACTACAGCATGTGATTTTAACACGACCTAAGACTGTGTAGCATTTTTAACACAATTTAATAAAATATTTGTAACATATGAAGACACCTGAAGATGGCCGTTTGGGGCCAAAACATGTAGTGTCAAGGTGTATAATGTTAAACTAAAATTGAGTGTTGAATGGAAGAGTGTTGCAATATTGACGAATGATAAATAAATATGGAATGAAATAAATGCTGAAGTGTTACTGGCGGCAGATGCAGCAGCAGAATATGAACATAAACCAAGACATTACGACTGGTTTGATAACGAACGCTGGCAGACAGAAGAGGAGTGGGATCACGCTCACAGAATAATTAAAGGTAGACCAACTCATTGCAGGCAGATTCCACTCTCAGGTTAAGATAGAAATACACTATCAGAGCCATTGTTTACTGTTTCTATAGTAATACAAAATGTATGTCATATTCTACTTCAAAATCAAGCCTCCAGCTTCAAGTGTTTATAAGAAACAATATAATTTAGATTAAATTCAATTCAGGGAATTTAAGTCGATATGCGATCCAGTAACTTTTGAAACAGTTTAACTATTAAAATCGCCACTTAACTTGAAAAGTGAAACAAATTTTAAACAAAATATGGTCTTGTTAAATATTACTCCAAAAAGCATGGAATATGAAGGTTTCAGAATTCAACAGGTGATTATTTTATCTCACAAGACCCCTGGATATGGTAAACTGCTCCCAGGAAAGTATCAGTCAACTCAAAGAAAAATACACATACAAATTGTGTGCCCTTGAACAGTATTAACTTCTGATTGCAATGTCCAAGTACAGGTCCTAATTCACTCCAGCTAAAATCCTCACAACCAATTTCAGTACTGCCATTCAACCTATGTCTTTATCCTCATTGGGTCCTCTGTATTGACCTACTCCCTGAATCACAGTTTTATAGTGATTAATTTATGCCACAAATGTTTGAATGCTGTATTTTTGGGCACATAGCAGCCTTGGGTACCTTGTACCAGTACAGAAGACAATGCTTCGGAAACTGGATCTGTTCCATTGTTAGATGGGGGGGAGGGGGCAAACCTACTGTGTTGGGTTTGTTAGAAAGACCTAACCCAACACAGTATATGTCTCCCCCCTTTTTCTGAGGATGGAAACATCCAATTTCTGAAATATTATGTTCTCTAGTCTTTTTAGAATACTGGGCAATGGACAAACTCCTAAAACCCAGTAATTCCAAGTACTCTTATACACCATCATTAGAACACCTTAATCCTACTATAATGTCTTCAGTTTTGGAATATTTGTAATACTTCATTCTGTGTAGCCTGTTCATATCACTCCCTTTTCTCTTGACTTGTTCTAATCTGTGGGCTATATTGCCAAATATGGATCTCTGGAACAAATGATGATATAATTATGATGATGATTATGGTGAAGATTGTTGTTGTTACAGAATTTCACAACATGGACATAAAAAATGTCCTATGTGCTCAACAGCATTTGCAGTATGATGACTTTGGTTCCCAGTGTATTTGAAAATTGAATCTAGTAACTATCTACTAATGACACAACAGTTTGTGTTATCTGATGATGATGCAACCTCAGAGATGTTTCAGACACAGTGTAACAGATGAGTGTGACTGTATCCTGCGGGAAACCAACGAGATACTGTAGCGTGAATTTTCATTTACATGTATTGAAGCCATTATTTTCTTGAAATCAGTCTAGTGCCTTATGTTAAGAAAAGGTTTCATCAGGTTCACCTATTTTCATTTCACCTAAATTGACTGAATCACCAGAGATGAATTGTTATCCTAGTCAACAATATCTAAACTGTTCCATTTCCAAGCAGACTTGCAGATATGCACACCTCAGCATTTTGCACAAAACAGATCTCGACCAACCACAAACCAGGAAGATTATCTATTAGCTTCAGAGTGCTGAAATTGACTGAGACACTGCAACATACATATTTAAATGCCCTATTAAATTTCTTTGCAGTTTAATGATTGAAATATCCTAAATGCATATAATCTGCAAAGCTATAAGTAATCCTTAGTAGATGCAGTCTTGATGGCAACACATGAAATAATTCTAATCACTCGGTACTTTATGGCAATTTTTTATCATGAATGCATGAAGCAGAAGGGAAAGAGACTACATGAACTCTGAGAGACCACAGGCCTTGCTAGCTTCGCTGTTACCGGCAGCAGTTCAGGGAAGGAATGAGAGACGTTAAAAAATTAAGTGGTACTTATCAGAAGACACAGGCCAACCACAAATCTCGAAACATACTTCAGAGAAGATCTATCATTCATTTTCAATGATGTAATAAGGTAAGGACATAAATTCAACCCCCCAGAATGTATCACACATATAACTAGTTTAATATCAGTTTCTGTTGAATATGATACTCTAAAAAATTGCCCGGGCATTGACAACAACATATGCCATCCTTGTACTGTAATGTCTTCAGTCATTTGAACCGACAAGTTTGTACCAAGAGCTCTTGAAGTTCCATGAATACAAATAATGAACACACACACAACTTTCTGTTGGAGGGAAAGAAATTACATGTGGCAATTGTAAACAGTTAAGAATGTTGTACAAAGCAAGAAATTCAGATATATAAATGTTTGTGTTTTGTAAAGGATGTCATTTAGGAAGGGATCCCCTAGTTATCACTAATTACGTACCGTGATGCATAGAACAGGAGCCCCAAGAAACATTTCCTTGTCCTCTTCATTCTTATACTGTGGGAGGAATTGGGGGAAAATATTCTAAAACTTAAGGTCTGAAATTGAAGATCTTTGTTTTGTAATTCAGAATAAAAGTCACTTATACCAAAAGATTTTAAAACAAAACGAAACATTCACAGGTTTATTGTAAAATGTAATTTAGAACTTCAATTATTTTTCATATTTTGAAAAGGTTTCTCTGATATCTAAGAAAGGAAATCATCTTTAATTTTTGTAAGATTTGAGGTTTTCACGGCGGTGACTATGAAGAAAGCAGTCTTCTGGGATTTGGCACCGTGTATATGTGGTGTTAACCGACGTTTCGGAGGAACGTATCGCCTCCATCTTCAGGGTAGAAGAAAAAGTATAAGAATTCAGTCTGCTTCTACCGTTCTCACGGTCTTGTCGCTTGCAGAATTCTTATACCTTTTCTTCTACCCTGAAGATGGAGGCGATACGTTCCTCCGAAACGTCGGTTAACACCACATATACACGGTGCCAAATCCCAGAAGACTGCTTTCTTCATCTTTAATTTTTACTTCAGATTCTGCTACTAATTTTGCCAGCTGTGCATTGCCATATCCTTTACTTCCATATTAACTGGTGATAATTTATGAAGAAAGTGGAAGTGATCGGTTATGGAATGAAACATATATATATGCACAAAGGTCTGAAATGGGAAGAAGCTCAGGTACAGTCCCTGCCAAGTATTTTTACCTGAATTCAAAATAATTCATGAAGGACAACTGAGTTCCTTTTTCTTTACTCTTCCAGACAAATTTAATCACACAAAGAGTTTTTTAAGAATAGAATAAAATATCTAACTGAATGTCTGAGCTACAAACATAAGGAAAAGTCTGAAGTTGTGTTACTAAATTTTCACTTCACAGTTCCAGCATATACATTTGATCATAGTGGGTAAGAATTTAGCTGAAAAGTCCACTATGCATGAAATGATGTTCAATTTCAAAGGACTTGACATAAATGGCTACAAGCCACATAATACATTTAACAATTTAATATTTCAACCCACAATGCATATACATATTCAAGGGTATGCAAAACAGTGGCACGTACATAAGACACTCATGATTCAAAATTACAGTCATGTTCCAGTGGCATATTTAGCTATTTCTGTTTTGAGCCTTTTATTAATAATGTACTCCCTTAACTAATTCAAAAGTTGTTCTGTTACAGTATTAAAGGTACAGCGTGACAAAATTAGCAGCATGTATAGATTCAAATCACAGTATTGATACATGGAAAAGAGTTGTTACAGCATTGCATTATCACTCAAATATGAATCGTCCAACAGAGATTTAGACTTGATATTAATATAACTTAAGTTGAATGTCTAGAAGCACAAAAAATTTTGAAACGAAACTTGGTTCTGTAAGTGACCATGGGGAAAACACATACAAAATTACAACAAGTACAAAATATGACAAACCTGTGGTAGTAGCTGAAAGAAAAGCAACAGAAAACACAGTAACAACACAATAACAAAAAAAAAAATAAAGTAACATGCAGACCTGCCAACTTAAAAATAAAAGGTGCTGGGAGATTCAGCACTTAGAAATTTAAAAAGTGAGTGGAAGGGGTGAGAGGGACTATTTTCTTGACATTAATTTCCCTTGAATATTTGTGAACATTAATTTTATTCCTGAAATATGAACTCCATAAACACAGTGACCCATGAAATGCTAAGCCAAAAGAGAGGTGGATTCTGTCTCTCTTGCTGTCTGTCACTATCTTTGCAAATATTTTAACCGGCGAATGAATACGAGCAATACAACTGAGAATAAATTATAGTTTGTTTTGCATTTCACTGTACAAATATATTATTGACAATAATGTAAAAAAAAGGGACTGAATATTTCACCCACACAAAATACATCAGCATTTGTTGGCAACCGTTTTTTGTACACCATGTTTAGAAATTCTATAAACTGGCTGAAACTATCTTTGCAATTTCTCCATCTTTACTCTTTACACATTACTAAATATTAAGATTGTATCTAATCACACTGATCACCCTTACGACTCAGTGAGGGCCTCCTGAAAACTCAGTAACAAACCTTCAGGTTTCCTGAAAGGCAACGATTCCTCAATTCACTGAGGAAATACCAGCTATCTGTGGAGTTGATTGATTAATGTTAAATTATGAAAATTCCTGTTTTCTTTCTAAAAAATATATCCACAAACCAAAATTTTTATTTCTTTGTGATCAGAATTTACAGTTCTCATTTCAGATCCTATAACAGCAGTTTCCTTATCAAGACTAATGAAAATAATCTGTCTGCTGGTTTCCATCTGTTCTGTTACTAACTTGCACTGTTTAGTAAAGTGACATGTGTAAAGATCTGTGCGGAAAACATAAAATGCAACTAGATGCTTGTGATTACATATTGAATATGTAATAGTACCCCGTTGCATACTCTGGATGTGTTTCTGAAGAAGCAACTTCCCAGTGAATGAACGTTTAACAGAATCATTATAAAGTAGTCAATATGAAGAATTGTGGTACTAGTACGATGACTTAATTTGGCAATCAGTGCTCAGAAACTTCATTAAAAGATTAAATCAAGGTACATGCAGATTCACAACTCACTGCAATGCATTTTTTGTCTTTAAAACATATAAGAGTGTATAAATTATAGCAATATGTGAAGTGCAACACTAATTTAAATCAAAGTTAGGCTTGACTACCTGTAAATCCTAGACTGAGCTCCAGCACCGTTGTGTTTCTCAAGGTTCTGACTTTTCATTCATATTTTTAAGAGCTTGACAGTCTTTTCATTCAGTTTTCAACTGTGGTATTACTGTACACAGATTTTTTCGAATGAATATAGCCAATAAGTGACCAAGAGTTAACCAAGAAAATTCTGAGTTTATGTTCCCACAGTAAACATACTTAAATTCCTTGAACCTTTTTGAGTTGCTTATGCACTGGTGCCAAAAGTACCAAGGCTATACAGAGACTGAAAAAATTAATAGTTAAATATTTTGATCCATGAACGATAGTCATATTTTCTTTGTGCGACAGTAAGACACAGCAAAGAGCTGTCAGATTCCCAGCCTCGGAACAGTTGGCAGGTCACAAAGTAATGTTTTAACTCATACTTGATTGCAGTGGTGACTCACAAGTTTGAAGCACAGGTGTGTGATGAGTATGTCATCATTGGTAACAGAGCCATGTCACAATGTAAGGCCTCTAGCCGCATGGCAGAGTGTATAACAGGAACCTCTTGGATGAGGATGCATCCATCCACATCTACCGCAACACAGACATGGGTATAAGTTGTTGCATGCACTATTTGCACAAATGAATTAAATCATCATGGCAAAATCATGTTTGATCATCTAAACTATGAAATAAATTTCACTTAAATTTAGTTCTGTAACTCTGTACTGAAAGTTGCCTGTCTGCTGTAATACTGCTGCGTACAACCACCACTTTATTTGAAACTCACATCAGACTCATTTTTCTCAGAAAAAACTGGTACATGGCATAGATCACACTAAAATCTACAACTTCTATTTAAATTGCATTGTCCAGTGGTAAATATGTATTGAAATCTCTGCTTCCTCGACATCTCAGTTGGTACAGTGACTAGCATGCACCTAAGCTGGTCCTTGGGGAATGTCTGGAGCATCAAGCCACACACCTGTACTAGATCTGTACCATCATATGTCTAGATTACAAAAGTAACTTCACTTTATGCCTACAGTACAACAATCTTTGCAGCAGCATATTTGTTTGCAATAAATTAAAATCAAGGCCACTGACATAACTGGGATCTCAAAAATCGCATCCATGAAATGTGTACACCATTGTAACATAACTCTGCATTCTGGTTTTCTTCAATTTCCTCGTGAAATCCCCAAACACTGCCTCGAATAGGCCACAAAATGCTGTTAAGTAAACTCAAACTGCTGAAGACAGATTTAGGAACAATGTAATCTCATGAAACAAAATACTGACCTGTTTCAACAATCACTGTGTGTGCTGATGCAATTTCATGTTAATTCCCATTTGAAGCGCCACTAACTCTGATGTGAAAATTCAATCGGTATTACATTGCTTGCAAAAGTGAACCATAATTAAACATGAAAACATGAAGTCTTTTTTTTTTTTTTTTTGCAAAATTGTATGGATTTACATCCTTTCAAGTAAAAAATATGCACACATAAATTAAGAACTAAGTTTAAAAAAAAATAGATTTATTTTCTGTGCAGATGAATAGATGTTTATACTTTTAAGTTAAAAATGTTTGACTTACACCTTAAAAGTCAAAAGAATAAATCAACACAATATTATTATCGTCAGCACAACTGCAGAAAATTTTATAACACTGAGTTACAGTGACCCTAATTTAGGGAACTGGGAGCACATTAATATTTTTGGAATAAAAAAATTGATAAAACATAGATCTGGTCTATGAGAGAAGTTTAAACAGAAATGCTTTCACCATTAAGAAAATATTGAAAAACAACAGAATTTAAAAATAGTATATATGGAAAAATACAACGAAATGTATCAATAAAGACATGTATACCCAGGCACATAGGACATACCTGTACACATATGGTGGCAGTTCCTGGACAAAATCCATCGTTATCTCTCCCAAATGCCGGACATTTATGTGGCAGTTCATGTCACTGCAGCTGCAAGCAACAATAAAAACTGCTGCTACTACAACAGATTTTCCAAGTTTGTGCATACATTTCTAGTTAGTTTTTACTTAAAATTATACAAAATGGAATCATATATAAATACATTTATATACTTCAAGTGTAGAAAAAACATTTATATCGCACAAATGTAAAGAAAGACTCTCTAACAACTGACAACTAAACACCTCACTTTCATTAGTCAGTGGAGAAGGGGTAATTAAATTTATTCAGTTCTAAAGTGATAGTGCTAGTAGAGAACTTGGACTATCGCAAACAACTGTCTGGCATGTATTGAGGCCCCGGTTAGTGTACAAACCATACCACCTACAACTGGTACGGGCTCTTCGTGCAAATGATAGGGTAAAGTGGGTACAATTTTGTGACCGTATGCTCAAAAACATGGAAGATGAATTGTTTCTGCCTCGTGTCATTTTTAGCAATGAAGCTACATTTCACCTAAGTGGGAAAGTCAACAGGCACAATGTTCGCATATGGGGGCTACAAAATCCCCATGTAACACTTGAACATGTGAGGGACGGCCCGAAAGTTAATGTGTTCTGTTCAGTATCGTTAACAAAGGTTTATGGACCTTTCTTTTTTGATGAAAACATGGTTACTGGAGTAACGTATCTCAGAATGCTGCAAAACTGGCTTGTTCCTTAAATGAATGAAGATTCAGGAGATTACATTTTCGAGCAGGACGGAGCTCCACCCCATTGGCACCTGAATGTTCGACATTTCCTGAATTAATCTCTACCTCAACGATGGATAGGTTGCATGGGGAATGAAGACCTGGCACTTTAGTTCTGGCCATCAAGGTCTCCTGATCTCACACCCTGCAACTTTTTCCTGTGGGGATTCGTGAAAGATGCATTTTATGTACCACCTCTTCCCACAGATTTGAATGACCTAAGAAACCATATCACAGCTGCGGTGAACTCAGTGATGCAAGATATTTGTCGTCGAGTGTGGGATGAATTCAGCTACCATCTAGATGTTATCTGTGCAGCCGGAGGGGGGCACATTGAACATCTATATAGTTCCATGTATGTATAATGAAATGTAATTTACAGAATTCAAATGCAACATATAATTCAGGAAAGAGAGCCAATTGAAATTGTGTCCATCTTTCTTAATCGCCCTGTATGTATATATATATATAGAAAATAGGGTGCTGATGGACCAAGGAGAGATGAAATGATAAGAGGTTGGCAAAAACTGCATAATGAGGAGCTTCATGACTTGTATTCATTGTCAAGAAGGATGAGATGGACAGGGAATGTAGCAAGCACGGGGGGAAGAGGAACGGATATATCATTTTGGTGGGAAAACCAGAAAAGAAAAAGACCACTAGGAAGACGTAGACTTGGGTGGGGGAATGATATTGAAATGGATCTCAAATATATAGGATGGGGTGGCATGGACTGCATTGATCTGGTTCATGACAGCGACTGATGAAGGGCTCTTGTGAACATGGTAATGAACCTACATGCTCCATAAAATGTTGGGGAAATTCTTGAATGGTTGGGCAACCAGCAGCTTCTCAAGAATGGCTCGGCTCCATGGAGTTAGTTATTCAGTTATATAATATGTGTGTAACGTAAATATTTCAACTAGTTGTTTCATACTACCATGCCATTCACTCTTCAATGGCTCTACGGCCCTTTGTTGGGCCTCTTCTTCAGCTTCGTCATATTTTTTTACACAAACGGTTGTACTCCTTGGACGAGTGATCAGCTTGTCACAAGGCCGTTATCTGCACACAGGTCAACAAACAATAAATGCATACACAGACATCCTTGCCTTGGGTGGGATTCGAAACCACGCGGCTACCGTGATAGGCATTACCATGCAATACAGATACAGTTTATTTACCATATTCCAATTACAATGGCATACATATATGTATTCGTTAATTTCAAAACTGACGCGTGTAATGTTACCAACTGCTTACAAATAACCCCGCCCCCTATATGCATTTCAGAACAGAAAAAGTACCAGATAATCAAGTTACATATATCTCCTGTACTTCTCACATACGAATTATTTTACAAAATATATTAACGTTTTACTTGGAAAATCAAGATTTCGTGTTTGTTGCGTAAGTTGCAACCCTTGTCTCGTAATGGCGGACTGCTGTTTCATTCTACGCATACATAGCCAGAATCTCCAGTGCTGCCTTCAACTCACGTAGTGTGCGCTACTTAACTCTGAAATAATTTGTTGCTAGGCCTAATTGTCACGCGTAATTTTTTTCCACCCTTGGCACTACAGCCCCAGTGGGCCTAGGCCTACCTCCATGAACTTCTCCGTTCACTTCGGTTTTTCTAGATCTTACACATTCGGTAGGACTCCTTGGGCGGATGATCAGAAAAAAAAAGCGCACATACAAACTAAACAGCCATGCTCTTAGTGGGATTCGAACCAACGATCCCGGTTTCCAAGCGAGCGAAGACAGCAAATGCCTTAGACCGCTGGGCTACCGTGACCGGCGTCACGCGTAATACATTCCGAAAACTGTCACTATTGAGCCGCGATGGCGTAGTCGGTATAGCGACTTGCTGTTGGCTGGATGACCGAGGTGTGAGTTCGAGTCCCGGTAGGGTCCACCCAAAGTATCCAATGATTATAGGGGGGGGGGGTTAAACTGTTGGGTCGTGAAGCCAACCACTCAACTCCAATGCAGGCATCACGAAAATGTGGCTCTGTACAACCACCCCCATACGCCTTCATGGTATAGTGCTCAATTGGTTAAGCACAGGGACATTAGTATATCTTGTATATACATTTCAGTCATAATTACTGTTAAGCAAAATGCGTTGCAGTGACATTCAAAAGTACGTTCTAAGATAAGAAGTGCACAAACCGACGCAGTCTAAAATTTTCGTTGAAACATTGACGTTATAGTCTTTGTTGGTCACACTGAAATCAATCTTAATTTTAGTCCTGACAGCAAACATACACATGTAATGTTGGAAAATATTACCAAACGAATGTGCTGCCAATCGTTCTGAATCATGAAATCTTGAATTGTTTCATATTCTGTAACGAGCAGACTAAAAGATGACTTGCATTGCTCTTGATCTCATAAAGAAATCTCACCACACATTGGCACCCCTGATGAAAGTTTGAAACAGCAGTCTGTACGAAACGTGGATGCAAATTTCCTTTGTGATCTCACAAACAGATCCTGATGCAAGTCTGAAACAGCAGTCACCATGAAACATGAAAGCGTATTTCCTTCCCGATCTTACAGACGTAATCAGGATACAAATCGCGGCCATGTATTTAAAATAAACAAAGCTATTACTATTCCTAAATTCGGACAGCTGGGGCTTGAACTCAGGATACTCATTCGGATGTCGTTTTCATCTATTGCGTGGAATTGTACACACACTTCAATGTATTAATCTCTCATTTTCAAGGATTTTATCAGGCTTTGAAAATTTGTTGTAACATGGTAGGAATTGATAAGCCAGGATAGCATTGTCTGTAGAGACTGGCTAAGGAGTGGACAATAAAGGTGGTCGGAGTCCCTGTGGGGGGGGTCAAGATCTTCACTTCTCCATGTGGCCCAGGCCGCCTCTCTAGTCCACTCAACCTATAGCACAGGCTTTCGTCAGGAAGGGGGGGGGTTAAGCTGATCAGACCTCCAGCTGGTGATCAAAATGTGGATCTGTACCCACACACCTTCATGGCATAACTTTGCCTTTTACATGGTACAAATCAGATAGGCACCATCTCTTTCATTGCCTGAAACTGCAGGTTGGATGCATACGCAACAAATGTGATCAGCAAACTTCTTTCATCCAAAGTTTAGGGGAGTCAGGAAACTGTGTTAAGAATGGCTGATTTTGTGCAGCTTGGAAAAACTTCCTGAACGAATTGCTCTAATATCCATTCATGGCCATTTAATATTGCAAACGTCAAAGGCTGCCATGGGCCTTGCATATAGACCAGTTTTTGTAGACCTGAATGTGGACTGGAAGTTGATATGAAAATGACTCAAGATTTGAAGGGTGTTGCTCTCAGAATACTGTGCAGGGGCAGGTTGTCACACCACCACTTAATGAGTAGCTGAGAAACTATTACATCAACGCCATGGAGCAACTGATTTATTAATTTATTTAAGGGCAAAATAAAGTGGACATTATTATTACTATTAATGTATACTTTGATACACAGACCAATTACGCTTCATCTGTATTTCAATTTTAACTTCAGACATATTTTTAACATATTTAAATACTTGGTGCCCCCAACTTTCTTCTTCACACAAAGGCATCAGACTAATACATTTGGGAGAATCACATTCCTCATACATGCAGGCTATCAACTTGCTACCAGTCTGAAGACGCAGAGTAGACTTCTTTGGTTCAGTTATGAAATATGATTCAGAGTAGACTCCTTTGGTTCAGTTATAAACTATGATTACAAAAAAAATTACAATCTTATGAACGAACGACGTTCCTGTACAACCAGTGATAAATATTGTAGGTCAGTCTCTGGCTTGCAGGTGTGGAGATAATTTTATTAAGTTGTAACACACCTGTACATGTCATGTGGTGCAGCATGGGGGATGGGAGGAAGGGGGGGGAACTCATTCATCTGTTTTATTCAGACAGAATGAAATTGTAAAATATTTAAATCAGAAACTAAAATTAAAATAAAATCTTGATATGGGCGCCAGCATGTGGGATGGGAGGAAGGGGGCGGGGGGGCCTGGCATTCATGTTTCATTTTTTAAGACAGAATTATAAAATATTTACATCAAACAAATAATATCTTGATATGGGCACCTGCATGTGGGATGGGAGGAAGGGGGTGGGGTGGGCATTCATATTTTATTTTTAAGACAGAATGAAGTTATAAAACATTCACATCAGAAACTAAAATAATTAAAATAAAATCCTGATACTGGCGCCAGCATGTGGGATGGGAGGAGGGGGGGATCTGGCATTCATCTGTTTTATTCACACACAATGAAATTGTAAAATATTTACATCAGAAACTAAAATTAAAATAAAATCTTGATATGGGCACCAGCATGTGGGATGGGAGTAAGGGGGCAGGGGTTGGCATTGTTGTTTTATTTTTAAGACAGAATGAAATTATAAAATATTTGCATCAGAAACTAAAATAATTAAAACAAAATCCTGATACTGGTGCCAGCATGTGGGATGGGAGGAGGGGGAGCCTGTCATTCATCTGTTTTATTCAGACAGAATGAAATTATAAAATATTTACATCAGAAACTAAAATAATTGAAATAAAATCCTTCCATCTTAAATACTATTGTGTGGTCAGAGAGAAGTCTTAAGCAACTTAAAGATATATATTCACCAGCAAATTTTCTACTTCCCTCAAGTCGCTTGTGTCATCTTGAAAGCAAGTCAGTTTGTTGAAATGGATTTATATGCAATAATAGTTTATATATTAAGGTCACAGAACCTAGAGGGGAGCACTGAGTAATATGCAAGCAAGCAATTAAGCAAAGCTATCCCTCTAACATGCCATGAAGGCCCATAGGGTTGTGACACGTTGAGGGTCCCACATTATCTACAAAAGTCGGCTCAAAGACGGCGTTAAGGTTGTCAGCCTTACACTCTGGCCGTGCTTTACTCCCCAGGAAAATTATTTAATTAATTCCTGGTACACATTTCTGTTAGAGACTGAGTCAAACCCAGGGCCATAGTACAGCTGGAAGGATGAGGTCTACTGAAAAAAAATTCAATTACCTCCTTGGGATTTGAACCCGCGATCTTCTGGCTTGTAGCATAGCCCCTCAACTAACTATGCAACCACGTGCTGCCCATAGTGTTACATATAAAATTATTTTCAAGACCAGTCTTTTTCCAAAATGCAGGTAAAGACATACTAGATTACACACAGGGTTTACAGTCACTACTGTTAGAGCCTCAAATCTCACAAATACAGTAATGGTTTTACATACAATTTAGATATTCTGATTTTTCTTGTATACACGTATTTAGATTTTGAGTGATCATTCAAAACTCACATACATATTCATATGAGTTAACTTCATTTACCATATAAAATCTGGGATTAATACTGTGGGGAGGGGAGTGTACATGTGTGTCAGTAAGACATTAACTGGCTGCTCTTTCAGGATGTCACAAAAATGAGGAGACTAAAGAACACTGTACCTTGCCTCAGAATTTAGCACAACAGTCAAAGGATTTTACATAGATTAAGACTGAAATACATGCATTCCATGGCAGTCAGTTTAACAGGTTATATATGTGGTTGATTTCTTGTTAAATGTTAGAGAGAAGGAGATGGAATTGTATTTTCATAAAAATTAATACATTCATGTTCCTTGAACTGAGAAAAGCAATCAAATTTTAATGTAAGTGAGAAAAACGTTCCTGTTAACTGTCTCTCTAACAGTCATTACGGTACAAGATATTGTGACACGTCAAACCATTGTTGGGCAACATGATGTGGGACGAGTTACCATCAAAACAGACGGTTGCCAAGTTATGCAACAGGAAATAAAGTGGTTTCTCCATGCCATGCTGAACCACACTGGTCACTATGCAGCAATAAAAAAAACTCTTGGCAGCATTGTGAAGCAACGCCTCTGTAAACGCAATGTGGTTTTAACTCGACTAAGGAGCAGTTAGTATTCGGCAGAACAGAAGTCAGTCAGTCACGGGAAGAACTAAACGCGTGATTAGAAGATTTTATGTGTGATAATCAGTGAGAGTTTGTAATAGCTGAGAAGGTATTGGGAGCGGGTAATTCAGTGACACTTGTATAGCTCCCATGTTATACTGTAAATAAGTGAAGACTGCTGAAGATAGTGTGAAGAGGTTAGTGTTTAGGGTTTGTAAATTGTGTAAACCCACAACAGTATTATAATTAATTGTAATTAAGACTTATGGGTTGTTAATAAAACCGATTAACAATCTGAACAAAGTCTTCAGTAGACAGAACATGTTACACTGTAATATGCTCTCAAAAAATATTGAGAATTTGAGGCTCTCATTGCTGTGAATATAAAAATTAGTCTTGTGGAATGTGACACCAAGTTGTCTGGTATACACCTGTTGCCTACATCTTAAGTGTACAAAGAGAAAATAGACACACCAGGTTCATCTGAAATGTTGGTCCTTTCATTGCAAACTACATGGAATCACATCCTGGAAGATTGTGATCTTCACCAGCACACATAAAGAAAAATGAAAAGGACATATGCAAATTCTATACACTCTATTACCTGTGATATAAAGAAACAAGCTTAAGTACATAATTCCCTTCATGTTCCTACCTTGGAAGGTGTAATGATACATTCAAGCTAATAATGTCTCTTCTTTCTTTCAAATTTACAAATTACTCAACTGGTTAAAAGTTATGAGTAAAAGTACCTAATTCACTGCTCCCTTAAACATATGTTGTCTTCTGTATGCATTGATAACACAATTTTACTGTACCATGACAACTCTCTCATGGAACTGGAGGGCTCACTTTTTTACTTCAAAAATTAACTGCATTGTGTCACAGAATGTATGTTAAACTCTTTACAATGCAGTGGTTACTACTTGTATTTGTACCTCCTAATGGATTATCTAATGTCTCTTGCACTTTCCCTGTAGAGTATTTGCTTCACATTCTTCTCACAATAAAAAGACATTAACTGATAGCTCTTTGTAACAGAGGTGCCATGATGCAACAATTTAGGCAGGCTCCAGGATTAGAAAACTCCTACAATATCTATCCCACTCTGCCTCATTACATCAGATACAGCTACAGCTGCAAATTTTGCATCTGAAGACTGTTGTGCACAACTGTGGATGATGCAGATAATCTTGAATCCTTACCTGCAACCGGAACTAAGGCAAAGTCTTCAGACATCCCAGCACAGCATCCGAGTGAACACCTTCCAGGTTTCTGTGAAAAGTATGAGAATGGACACTGTAGGAACAGAGGGTATCAGGACAGGCAAGAACTATGTAAGAGTGCTGCAATCTAGGAGTCAACTTGTCCAAATTTTGAAACAATATTTCTGTCAAAATGGATAGACTTACACTCTGTGGGGTAAAATACCAGCTGCTTGAATCTTTCAAGTTAAAATTAAGAAGAAAGAAAACTGAAGAATTTACTTTCACTAAAAATTAACACATTTATATTCTTTATACATAAAAAATCGTACTTAAGTTTTAATGCAAAATCTGGAGAAATGACACAAATTTCCTGTAGGAATGAATACATTTATACTCAACTTACAGAATATATACTTATATGTCTTACAAGTTGACAACTTTAGTGCAAGTAAATACAAATAATCGTACATTAAATTGCATGGTACGTATATCCAAAAAAGAATTTTAATTCATGAAATTATAAAAAAAAAAAAAACATTTTTTTGTAGGCAAATGCAGCAAAATGGGCTAGTATGATGTGGGGCCTCTGGATATGATTGAGGGAACTGGGGGGGGACTTCATTAGAACTTACTTGATTTATTGAAATACAAAAATGGAACACAAATTTTGTATATGACATTAGTTTAAACAGGTACGAGTATGTCTTCATCATGAAGGTAAAATTAAACACAATCACCTAAGAAATATGATCTGTTGCCAAGTAGGTAACAACAAATCGTACCACTGCAGATATCTTTGCCCAACTGCATTATGATGACCTACCTGTATATCTCATGGTCTCAGCTCTTGATCACATTCCCTCGTCATCCTCTCATGTCCAGACACAGAAAAACTCCCACAGTCTGTGGCAGCTGTTCTTGTCTCTGTGGAAGAACAATGTCCACTGCTTATTACCATAGAATTCCATAATTTGCATATGCAACTGTTAGGTATTGTTTAAAATTAAAGAATGGAATCATAAGTAAATATATTTTTATTCATGATATATGGGATGGAATGGATTGAATTGATCTGGCTCAGGACAGGGACCAGTGGAGGGTTCTTATGAAAACGGTAATGAACCTTTGGGTTCAATAAAATGCTGGGAAATTCTTGAGTAGCTGCAGATTTGGCTTCTCAAGAAGGGCTCAGCTCCTAACTAAGCAATCAACTGTGGAAGCATTTAATTCTTACAAATGTAGACAGAAACTATCCCTAACTGCTCTGTAATACAATACTCACATGCAATTAAAACCATTTTATTTAGGCGCTGGAAAATAATCAGATCTACAAGAAGACCATGAACTAGCATTGTAAATCATAACTTACAAATTGAAACCGAAAAATCGTTGAACAAACAGCTTGCTTGTGGAGGAATCACATTTTTTTAAGGTAAAACAATTTGTAAACGTACCCAAGTTTACGCAGTTTCAGAACACTTACACAGACCTTCCTTTTATCAATATAAAAACGCCAGTCAAGATCAGAGTCATCTCGTTTGTATTTACTTTCAATGCAAGACCATTCACCAAAATGTTCCCACACGTAACGCCTTACCATGATGAACACCATTACTAACACATTTCGAGACATAAAATTTATACACAACTATTTTTCATACTCTTCTCTCCCTTTTCAACTCAAAAATATTTTAAACAGTCTTTAAATTCTACCTCAAAAACATGAATACACACCTCTTACGTAACGTTTTCTAGTTTCGTCTCGTAATGGCGGACTGCGGTACCTTTCTACGCTTACAAACCCAACATGGCCAGTGATGTCTTGATATTACGCAGTGTGAAAAACTGTACCTTTGAAAATAATCTGTAGTTATTAAGCTTACATTTTCACACGGGTAATTATGTTAGAAACATAATTTACTGGATATTTAATATTGTTTGATCCAATAAAAAATTAATATAATCCGTAACTGAACTACATACAAGGAACATTAGTACACAAGCTATAATGGCGCCGTCTTCTGAAATATAACTTGGGATAAAGTCGTTGCAGCGTCTTTGTTGTTCACATTTAAATCATAAATAATTCCATTCCGCACAACATACCTATTGTAAAGTTGAAAAACATTAACAATCCATCAAAAAGTGCCGCCCAGCCGCCTTATATTTTCACAAAAACTTGGATAGATTAATACTGCGTCTTCAATTAAAATACGGCGTCCTGGTCTTGCTCGTCTAAAGAACGAACACAACTCTCCACATGTATCAATGCGCCAGGCGGGCTACTTCGCGGCAAACGGAAGCTTCCAGAATTTGTACGGACTTGGTCACCTAAGAAACAAACACGACTTTCCACTGATATCAATATGCCAGGCGAACTAATTTTCGTCCGCGGAAACCTACCAAAATTTGCACAGGTTATTACGCAGTTGATGGCGGGGAACGGAAATAAGCCGGAAACAGCGGGGCCTACACGAAGCAACAGAACACATTTAATTTACTCTTTCATCACACAATCTACACATTACTCATGCCACAAACTAGCAAAATCGCACGCATTTTTTATGTTAAATAAGCGAAGAATTTTTAATTTAAGTCATTTCATGCCATGGCCCCTAAATTCCGACAGATGGGGTTCGAACTCAGGATAATTATTCAGGTTTCTGATTTGTGCATAATAAAAAGTAATTACTATCATTATTACTGTATCGGTGTACTCATTCAACGTATTTAACACCTCATTAACTTTAATGAAATTTGCCTACTTTGAAATTGTCTGTATCACATTCCTGGGAGGACAATTTTCACTGCCTGAAAACGTTGATGCATGGATAGACAACTAAGGGCTGTCCAGCATGCATCCCAGGTGGTTTGAGTGCCGGATATTTTCACTGGCACTTATTTTTAAAGCAGCGAAACCAAGCATGAACGAATTATGCTACACAGGTTATGAAATATTCTGACTTCGGTGTATAAACACTTAGGACTTCCAAGTTTTTGTACTTGTCCATCGTCCGGTGTTTTAAGTAATGCAACATCCTGTGACTGAGATTAGCTAATTAGCTCATTCTAACGGGACCAAAGCGGGTGAGTCTCACCCACTCACCTGAGGACAGAAACAGCTCCAGCTTCCGAAACGATGTGTTCTTTACAACACAGAAAATGAAAATGGTCCAAAAACCAAGTAATCCCAGAATTTATATATAAATTTCAGGCCTCATCTGTTATAGGTCAATGAGACAGCCTCTGTAAATGCGTACATTTTGTTAGTTCTTTATCCTTAAATTTTCCGTTTGCAAGTTAAAACATATCATTCAGTACGGCCAAGGAAAGGTCTCGTATATGGCAATTTCCTTCAACCCGAATCTGCCTACCAGACACCGCAAGAATAACTATTTTTATCACTAAATCCCTGCTCGCACGAATGGTACGTGAGAACTTTCCTACCAACCGAAGCTTGTTTCTTGCAGTTGCGAGAAACCCGATGCTAACAAATGGCGACCAAGCCAACCGACGCCGTAACCTTGCAAGGAAGTCTCTGCTGACACAGCAGTATCTACATGTTATCGCATATCCAGGTCTCATCACCACCACAGCTAACGAGGAGGACAATATTCGGTCACTATCTCCATACGTACTTCTAACTTGAGATGCACCTTTACTTAACCATGTCTCCCTTTTTAATATTGTAGGCTGGGGAAAAGAACATTATGGATAATGTTTAACACGATACTACTGTTATAGTATCAAAACAAGTTAGGATGTGTATGCATAGCGAAACAATGACTGCAATTCGGATCAGTTTTTTACCCATAAACTCTAAAAATTAGAGTTACAGAAACAGTTCTGATGATAAATCGTCACTCCTCTATACAGTTCGTGCTCCAATAAATGTTTGCAAATTACGATAAAGAAGTTGGGGCATGAGGCAGCTCAGCTGCCTGAGGCAATATACTACAAATAGGATGGTCGCGGGTTCGAGTCCAGATGAGAACTTTTGAGTTTCTTTCAATAGACTTAATCCTTCCAGTGCAATATAGCCCTGGGGTAAACTCAGCCTCTAACAGAAATGAGTCCTGGGGGCAAAGTACGGCGCGTAAGGATGACAACCTTACCACCATCTTTGAGCCGATTATCTAGAAAATGTGGGAACCTCAACATCTCACAACCCTATGGGCCTCCACGGCCTGTTACAGGGATACCTTTACATTTACGCTAGAAATGTGCGCAAAAGCGCACGTACCTCTGGGTGCTTAGTGTACCCGATTTGGCAGAAATTTAACCAAATTTCGAACGTGTGTATAAATGTTAATGAAACCTGTCCACGTTAAGATTGAATGAAAATCGGTTTCGCTCCTCCCGGGTTGATACCCGCAGAGAGGAAAACACAACGAAGTTAAAAGTGGATTATCTAATAATAAAGGATACATTACACGATACCCTACATGCGTTCTGTTTGCATTTCAAATAACAGATAATAGCAGCAAATCTGTGGTCGATAGTTACGCAGCAAAACTGACTATACATTTTATACACAATATATCTTTTCCATACGTCTCTCGGCTTTCGAGATAATTAAGTGGGGGTGAATCCGAAGAACTGTTATGATATGCGTACACATCCCAACTTGTTCTTTCTCCTTTCTATCGAGTGTTACTCCCGTGTTCCAAACCTACACAACACACATGTAACACGTAGTGCTGGAAGTGACACTTTACACTCATTTCATAACGGTCTCTTCGGCGCCTGAAAAAAGTGCGTTGTTCTACCTACACCTAAATGAGGAAGGGCGGGGGAAATCTCCGCCTCCCTCCCAGATGGTTTGCGAAAATAAAATGAAATACAAGAAAGAATAACACAAAATATATATACATATATATTTTAAATATTGTAATACTCCGCGCCATAGCTCAAGCTATTAGTCGCTGGCTTTCCACCGTGGCGTCTCGGGTTCGATCCCGGGTGTCGTCAGGTGGGATTTGTGGTGGACGAAGTGGTGCTGGGGCAAGTATTCTCAGAGTACTTCGGTTCCACCTGCCAATTTTCATTCCACCAAATTCTCCATCATAATCACCCGGGGCATGCACCAAAGAAGACCAATTCAGTGGCCGCCGTGCTGAGGGGTCGCAGTTGGACTCCACCCGCACTAAGCGAAGCAAAAAAAATATTGCAACATCTACAAACATTAAATTGTCTTTGATGCAGTCAGTGTCTATGGTAAAGTTACTGGGCAGAACAAAATGTAGTACAAAATCTGTACACTAAACTTCCCAATTGGGAGGCGGATATTGCATGGACAAATGGGTCAACAGGCTTCCATACAATTACACAATTCTGAAAACGACTGCCTACCTCTGAAACTTCGAGAACAATCTGCCACACTACACATCATATTTATACTCAGCACTGTTACAGCCTAAACCTCACATATACACTAAGTTGTCTCTACACAAAGCAATGATTCTCTTTGTTATTCTGTTACATAAATTTACTTTTGATGTAACCATTCATAGGTGACTCATACGTAATTCATTAGGGACCTTCCATTATATGAGTTACATAATTTCATTTATATATAAGAAATCTGTGATTACGACCACAGTGGTCTCTAAGTCTCAAACTGCCTGATATTAATGGATATTTGCCACAAGAAAGAGAGACTGAAAAGCCGAATGTCTTATATTAGAATTTAGAATAACTTCTCATGCATTTGTACACATATTAGGATATTCACAGCACATACATTATATGCATTTAAATTTCTATGCTATGCTTATGGCTATTTGTATGTTAAATATAATGAGCAGGTGACAGATTTCTTCTCTCACTCAAAAATGATCACTTGAATAATCCTCGAGTGTGAAACAACTTTTTAAACCTTCCAATCAGTAACAAAAATATTAAGAATAGTCTTCTGGAATGTGACACCATGTTGTCTGGTACATTGGTACAAATATTTCAGATGAACCTCCTACCTCCTTCTCCAGGGTAGAAGGTTCAAAAAAGCGGCAGCAGTTTCATTTCGAAAGTTTCTTCCTGCCTGCCAAACTACAAGGGATCACATCACAAAGTCTCTTATATACGAGTACAGAGCATACTTAAGAAAAATAAGAATAAAAAGAACTTACACAGAGACAAACTCATGCAGCACAAACAAACTGTATTATTATTACAAATCACCAAAGAAAAAGAGGTTGAAATGCATCACTCCTACATACACCTACCTTTCTGGAAGTTTCTTCGTACACGTAAGATAAAAATGGCTGTTGATCATTTAAATTTGACATGTTCAGCTACAGGCTACAAGTTAATGCTGCAATAATATCTCCTATTAATGTGGGTGGGAAGGGAAGCAAAGATAGCTCAGTCGATACAGTGACCGATTTGGGAATGGATGCCTATGGAACAGGGGTTTGTTTCCTGGTAGGGACAAGAGATATCTGCTCTCAACAAAATCCAGACTGACTTGGGGCCACTCAAACTCCTACCTATGGGAGTGGAGGACTCTTTCCATGGGGTTAAAGCGGCAAGAGATTGAAGTTCACCACTAACCTCCATCAAGTACAAACATCATCAATAGTGGAGCTATATCTCCACTCCACCAATATGTTTTCAAGGTGCGGAACTTCACTGATTAAGCACAGGGAAAACTTTAACCCAATTAGCTGCACAGTTTTGTTAATGTACTGTACCACAACAAAAGTTTCATTAAGTGGAATGCTGAACTATGTCTTCAAGAATTTACCTAAATTAAGACACTTTTACTCCTCCTGTGAAAGGCATGACAACGAACACTGTAGGAACAAATGATACCAACATGAGAGACAAGAACTCTGTGTGTATTGCTGCAGTCTGGATGCTATGTCATGATTTCATATGAGTCAGCAACTTCACATTTTGAAACATTAATATTTCATATAAAATCGACAGACTTATGCTGTGTTAGGTAAAATAGTACATACTTAAATCTGCAAAGTTATATTAAAAAACAATACTTATTTTCATTAAAAAGGAACATATTAGTATTCAACTACAAAAGCAAGTGCAAATGACTTAGAAGTAAAATTTGAAGAAATTAAATGAATTTTCTGTACAGATAAATATATTTATAGTCTTTTAACATCAAAAATTAAATTATGGAAAACCAAAGCTATTTTATGTAAAAACAAAAAATTGTGTTTTTTAACCTAACATACTTGTACTTGTGTCCTAAATGTTAATTAAAGAATGAATTTTCTCTACAGATGAATAAATTTATATCCTTCAAAGTTAATAACAATGTGTGCATCTTAAACGTGAAAAATAACAAACACATCACAACTGAAGTACAATCCAAATGCAACCGCTGTGGTGGGTAGCACTGTGGCTCAGATTAAGGGAACTGGGAGTACATTGTTCCCACCACAATATAAAAATGTTATGTGCAGTGAAATACAGAAGCAAGATCAATCCTGGGCTAATGACTTCAGACAGAAATTGTTTAATAACAATGGAAATACCAAAGAGTAACAATATTTAATGAGATGTTCAATGTTTATATTCATGCATATGGATACTCCTAAGAGTGCATGGTGATTGCATTATATAAAAAATTAAATTTATCTTCTGTACAAATGAAAAATGAAGTTAAAATTATGTACTTATATTAAAAATAAGCATTCACAATAAATAATAACCCAAGAAAAAATGGTTATTCTTGCAGAACTGGGGAAATTTTTACACCAACAATTAGCACATTGGCTATAATTCTGGCAGCGTGGAGCACATTATTATTTTGGAATAATAAATTCTTAAAATTGGTGAAATAAGATTGTCTTGTATTGGAACAGTTGAAACAAAAATGGGTTTCCTCTAACAAAATATTTGAATGCAACGGGATTTGAACAAAGTTCTTTTGAAAGCAAACTAGAAAACGTATTTCTGAATACCAACTGCAGAAGACATATTCATACCTGGACATTTATTGTCTCGGTTCTTCATCGAACTTCCTCATCAGCTCGTAAGACAAACATCCTCGGTGTGACTCAGCTCACCATAGCGACCGTCTGTGCAACAAACAATACTGCTACTACCATAGGTTTCTTAAGTCTGTGCACAGCTTTTTAGTATTTTTTTAATTAAAAAGATCAATAAGTAAATTTATGTTCTTTGAAGCGCAACAAAGGTACTGAAATCTTATAAAATAAAACTTTTTCTAACTGTCCTATACATGATGTTCACTGGAAGACGGCTGTTAAATGCAATCAAATCTAGCACTAGCACTGGGGGTGGCACCACGTTGGTTTCAGTAAAACGTGATGGAAAATACAAACACAAACTGAAGCCATTTATAAAATTTACATTTCGGAACGTAAATATTATAAAGCATCCTGTATTTCTATACAATTTCGTCGATTTTCAAACTCGAAATATAACGTACCTTATCATTTCACTTCAAGAACAAGAATTCACACTTCTTACGTAACGTTTTCTACTTTCGTCTCGTAATGGCGGACTGCTGTACCTTTCTACGCTTACAAACCCAACATGGCAAGTGATGTCTTGATATTATGCAGTGTGAAAAACTGTACCTTTGAAAATAATCTGTAGTTATTAAGCTTACATTTTCACATGCGTAATTATGTTAGAAACGTTATTATAATTTACTGGATATTTAATATTGCTTGATCCAATAAAAAATTAATAAAATCCGTAATTAAACTACGTACAAGGAATATTAGTACACAAGCTTAAAATGGCGCCGCCTTCTGAAATATAACTTGGGATAAAGTCGTTGCAGCGTCTTTGTTGTTCACATTTAAATCATAAATAATTCCATTCCGCACAACATACCTATTGTAAAGTTGAAAAACATTAACAATCCATCAAAAAGTGCCGCCCAGCCGCCTTATATTTTCACAAAAACTTGGATAGATTAATACTGCGTCTTCAATTAAAATACGGCGTCCTGGTCTTGCTCATCTAAAGAACGAACACAACTCTCCACATGTATCAATCCGCCAGGCGGGCTACTTCGCGCCAGACGGAAGCTTCCAGAATTTGTACGGACTTGGTCACCTAAGAAACAAACACGACTTTCCATTGATATCAACATGCCAGGCGAACTAATTTCCGCCCGCGGAAACCTACCAAAATTTGCACAGGTTATTACGCAGTTGATGGCGGGGAACGGAAATAAGCCGGAAACAGCGGGGCCTACACGAAGCAACACAACTCATTTAATTTACTCTTTCATCACACAACCTACACATTAATCATGCCAGAAATTAGTAAAACCGTAATTTTTGTATGTTAAATAAATAAGCGATTTTTTTTTAATTTATGTTATATCATGCCATGGACCTTAAATTCAGACGGACCAGGTTCGAACTCAGGATAATTATTCAGGTTGTCACGTGGGGATATTAGGTAAAAGGTAAAGTCGTCCCTGTGCTTAAGTAAATAAGCATTAAGCCAGGAAGGCGTATAGGGCAGTGGATGTACAGATTCACATTTTAACTCGGCACTAGCTGGAGGTGAGAGGTCAGCTTCACGCCCCGGCAGCTTTAACCCCGTGGAACAGTCCTTCGGTACCTGTTGGATAGGAGGTTGGGTGGACTCCAGAGCCGGTCTGGACGACGTGGAGAAAATTCTTGGCCCTACCGGGACTCGAACACCGACTCTTCGGTCGTCCAGCCCGTAGCCATTCGCTATACCGACTACGCTATCCTGGGTCATCGATACTTACTTACTCATGGAGTTGAGCCCTTCTTGAGGAGCGGCCAATTCTGCAGCTACTCAAGAATTTCCCAGCATTTTATGGAACCCGAAGGTTCATCACCGTGTTCACAAGAGCCCTCCACTGGTCCCTATCGTAAGCCAGATTAATCCAATCCATACCATCCCATCCTATCTCTCTAAGGTCCATTCTAATATTGTCCACCCACCTACGCCTTGCTCTTCCCTGTGGTCTCTTTCCTTCTGGCTACCCCACCAATATCCTACACGCATTCGTCTCCCCCATTCGTGCTACATGACATGCCCACCTCATCCTCCTTGACTTGATCATTCTAATTATGCTTGGAGAAGAGTACAACTTATGAAGCTTATCATTATACAGTTTTCTGCAACCTCCTGTCACTTCATCTCTTTTCGGTCCAAATATTCTCAACACCCTGTTCTCAAACACCCTCAGTCTATATTCCTCCCTTAATGTCAGAGACCAAGTTTCACAACCACACAGAACCACAGGCAAAATTATAGTTTTGTATATTCTAATTTTTATGTTTTTGGAAAACAGACGAGAAGACGAAAGGTTCTGGACTGAATGGTAGCAAGCATTAACCGAGTACAATCGCCTCTTAATTCCCTCCTGACTGTTATTGTTGTTCCCAAATATCTGAACTGTGTCACATTTTCAAAACATATGTTTCCTATCTTTATGCCATGATTTTGCCCTGCATTTTGGTGACGAGACAATAACATATACTTAGTTTTCTCTGTGTTCACTTCTACACCAAACTCTTTACAAAATGTAATTATTATTATTATTATTATTATTATTATTATTATTATTACTAAATCGATATACGACTTCAATGTATTTTGACATCTCGTAATTCTAACAAAATTTGCCCGCTTTGAAATTTTTTTATGTCACATTCTTGGGGAGGTCAATCTTCACTGCCTGGAACCCTTGATGGATGGACGGACATCGAAGGGCTGTCCAACATAGTTCCCTGGTGTTGTTTAAGTGTCGGAGATTTTTCTTGGCACCTACTTTAAAAGCAGTGAAAACAAGCACCAACGAATTATTCTATACAGATAATGACATGTTCTGAATTCGGTGTATATACACTCAGGACTTCTGAGTTCTTGTACTTGTCCAAAGTCCGGTATTCTAAATAACGCAAGTTCTAGCGATTGAGGTTAGCACATTCCCACGGGACCAAAAGGGCAGATGTCTCCCACCCCCTTACCTGAGAATGGATACGGATCCAGCTTCCGAAACGATGTGTTTTATAATACAGAAAATACAAATGGTCCAAAAACCAAGTAATCCCAGAATTTATATATAACTTAATTTCAGGCCTCATCTGTTATAGGTCAATGAGTCAGCCTCTGAAAATGCGTACATTTTGTTAGTTCTTTAGCCTTCAATTTTACGTTTGCAAGTTAAAACATATCAGTCAGTACGGCCAAGGAACGGTCTCGTATATCAATTTCCTTCAACCCGAATCTGCCTACCAGACATCCCAAGAATAACTATTCTATCACTTAACCCCTGCTCGCACAAATGATACGTGAGAACTTTCCTACCAACCAAAGCTTGTTGCTTGCAGTTGCGAGAAACCCGATGCTAACAAATGGCGACCAAGCCAACAGACGCCGTAAACCTGCAAGGAAGCATCTGCTGACACAGCAGTATCTACATGTTATCGCATATCCAGGTCTCATCATCACCACAGCTAACGAGGAGGACAATATTCGGTCACTATTTCCATACGTACTTCTAACTTGAGATGCACCTTTACTTAACCATGTCTCCCTTTTTAATATTGTAGGCTAGGGAAAAGAACATTANATCGTGTTAAACATTGTCCATAATGTAGAAAGCAGTCTTCTGGGATTTAGCACTGTATATATGCGGTGTTAACCGACGTTTCGGAGGAACGTATCGCCTCCATCTTCAGGGTAGAAGAAAAAATATAAGAAATCTGCAAGCGAAGAGACCGTGAGAACCGGTAAAAGCAGACTGTCTCACGGTCTCTTCGCTTGCAGATTTCTTATATTTTTTCTTCTACCCTGAAGATGAAGGCGATACGTTCCTCCGAAACGTCGGTTAACACCGCATATATACAGTGCTAAATCCCAGAAGACTGCTTTCTACATTATGGACAATGTTTAACACGATACTACTGTTATAGTATCAAAACAAATTAGGATGTGTATGCATAGCGAAACAATGACTGCAATTCGGATCAGTTTTTTACCCATAAACTCTAAAAATTAGAGTTACAGAAACAGTTCTGATGATAAATCGTCACTCCTCTATACAGTTCGTGCTCCAATAAATGTTTGCAAATTACGATCAAGAAGTTGGGGCACGTGGCAGTTCAGCTGCCTGAGGCAATATACTACAAGTAGGATGGTCGCGGGTTCGAATCCAGATGAGAACTTTTGAGTTTCTTTCAATAAACTTAATCCTTCCAGCCGCAATATGGCCCTGGGATCAACTCAGCCTCTAAAAGAAATGAGTACCAAGAATCTTCCTGGGGGCAAAGTGCTGCCGGCGCGTAAGGATGACAACCTTACCACAATCTATGAGCCGACTGTCTAGAAAATGTGGGAACCTCAACATCTCACAACCCTATGGGCCTCCACGGCCTGTTACAGGGATACCTTTACATTTACGCTAGAAATGTGCGCAAAAACGCACGTAGCTCTGGGTGCTAAGTGTACCCGATTTGGCAGAAATTTAACCAAATTTCGAACGTGTGTATAAATGTTAATGAAACCTGTCCACGTAAGATTGAATGAAAATCGGTTTCGCTCCTCCCGGGTTGAGACCCGCAGAGCGGAAAACACAACGAAGTTAAAAGTGGATTATCTAATAATAAAGGATACATTACACGATGCCCTACATGCGTTCTGCTTGCATTTCAAATAACAGATAATAGCAGCAAATCTGTGGTCGATAGTTACGCAGCAAAACTGACTGTACATTTTATACACAATATATCTTTTCCATACGTCTCTCGGCTTTCGAGATAATTAAGTGGGGGTGAATGCGAAGAACTGTTATGCTTACTTACTCATGGAGCTGAGCCCTTCTGGAGGAGCCGCCAATTCTGCAGCTACTCAAGAATTTCCAAGCATTTTATGCAACCCCGAAGGTTCATTACCGTGTTCACAAGAGCCCTCCACTGGTCCCTATCCTGAGCCAGATGTATCCAATCCATCCCATCCTATCTCTCTAAGATCCATTCTAATATTTTTCACCCACCTACGCCTTGGTCGTCCCTGTGGTCTCCTTCCTTCCGACTTTCCCACCAATATCCTATACGTATTCGTCAACCCCATTCGTACTACCTGACTTGATCATTCTAATTATGCTTGGAGAAGAGTACAAGTTATGATGCTCATCATTATGCAGTTTTCTCCAACCTCCTGTAACTTCATCTCTCTTCGGTCCAAATATTCTCCTCAACACCCTGTTCTCAAACACCCTCAGTCTATGTTCCTCCCTTAATGTTAGAGACCAAGTTTCACACCCATACAGAACCACAGGCAAAATTATAGTTTTGTAAGGACTGTCATGCTATGCATACATTTCCTAACTTGTTCCTTCTCCCTTCTATCGAGTGTTACTTCCGTGTTCAAAACCTACACAACACACATGTAATACGTAGTACTGGAACTGACACCTTACACGCCTTTAATGACTGCCCCTTCCGTGCCTAAAAATAGTGCAAGTACTATCTCTACCAAAGTGAGGTAGGGGGTAACAAAACATCTGCCACATCCTCCCAGATCGTTTGAGAGAATAAAATGTAAGAAACATTAACACAAACAAATATATTTTTTATATACTGCACCATATATGTTTCAATGCATGGAGGCAAAACCCTTTCCTGAATTGCAAGAATATTCTAAAACTGCTTTGGTCTCAGGAGAAAAGTAACCTGTAAGCAGCCATACTCAGTACTTTTTCAAAATAACTTGTATAACATTTATAAAGGACAGCCACAATATTTTTTAAAGTATTTTCTGCCCTCCACGAAAGGGGAGTTGTTGAACAGAAACCAGATATCAGTGGGTTCTACAATCGAAGCACAAATGTTAAATTATCTTTCATGCAGCCAGTAACTATGGCAAAGTTACTGAGAAGAACATGATGCAGTACAAAATCTGTACACTCAACTTCCTAACTTTGAGGTGGATACTACTTGTCTAAATGTGGTAAGAGGTGTATATACAATTACATTATTTTGAAAATTACTGCCTTCCTCTGAAACTTCAGCAAGAATCTGCCACACTATTCAATAAAAAAATTACTTTTAATCAAAATGCGTACCAATGACATTGAAAAGTACGTTCAAAGCAAGAGGTACACAAGCTTAAAATGGCGATGCAGTCTAGAATTTTCCTTTGAG